ATCATAGTAAAACAAAGACTTATATTTTTGATATTTATTTTATATATTTAAATGCCATTTAACACAAAAAAATCAACCAAAAAATTGAGTTCACATGTCAACTCTGACACGTGTGTCAGAGGTTCGCCATCACTGTCCTAGTTTATGAGTCCATGCTCAATCAGTGAGACATACCGGGAAGCATTTATATTGATTTTATGCTCTATCCACTGAGCCAAACCGGTTTTGGAAAGATTTATATTTTTGATATTTATTTAATATACTTAAATGCCATTTAACAAAAATCAACCAAAAAATTGAGTTCACATGTCAACTCTGACACGTGTGTCAGAGGTTCGCCATCACTGTCCTAGTTTATGAGTCCATGCTCAATCAGTGAGACATACCGGGAAGCATTTATTTATTGATTTTAGAGACAGCAAGGGAGAGAGAGAAACAAAGAGAATGAGGCATTGATGTGCTGTTCTGCCCATCTGTGCATTCATTGTTTTTCCCCTTCATGTGCCCTGATGGGTGATCAAAACCACAACCTTGGGGCATGAGGGCCACATGCTCAACGACTGAGCCACCTGGACAGGATTCTGAATTTGTTTATTAATTTCAGGAGCTCATAGTGGGATCTTGACAAATTTCTCTATGGAGGGTCATGTCATCTCCTAACATCAACATCTCTTATGATTCTTTGTGGTTCATAGTGACAGGTGTAATGTCTTATCTTTAATTTCTTTTTTTACTTATTTGAGGCTTGGGTTTTGTTTGTGTGTTTTTGCTTTAGTGTAGCTAACAGCTTGCACATTTTTATACCTTTTTTTGAAATATACCTTTTAGGTATTCCTTTCTTTTGTCTTTTATTTATGTTTGGTCTAATATTTATGGTTTCTTTCCTCTGAAACCTTTGGTTTACTTTCCTGTTGTGTTTCTAGTTTCCTGATGTGCCATTTTATGTTCCTTGAGATTTTTTGTGACAATGTAGTCATTTATCTCTGTAACATTTCTCCTTAGAATTACATTTTCTTTCTTTTTTTTAAAAATATATCTACTGATTTTTTACACAGAGGAAGGGAGAGAGAGGGATAGAGAGAAACATTGATGATAGAAAAACATCGATTCAGCTGCCTCCTGCGCACTCCCTACTGGGGATGTGCCCGCAACCACGGTACATGCCCTTGACCGAAATTGAAACTGGGACCCTTCAGTCCTCAAGCCAGTGCTCTATCCACTGAATCAAAGGGCTCTGTTAAATTTCAAGAGACTTACTGAACTTAAGCAATAAGAAATAAATTTCCCTAGCCTGAAGTACACAGCCCAAACCTGTCTCAGAGAGATGATCTCAGTGAAGTAATGTCACTGTGAAACTCTGGGCCAGGGAATGATTTCCAAAGGCCTTTTCCAATCTACTCAGAGCCAACTGATCATAAGTGCTAAAGCAGTGCATGGTCAGC